CAGTTTTCTTTCCTGGTTCTTCAACTCTGTCTCATGCATTCAAGGTTGCCATTCAACATAGAATTAGGGTTTGGATATCATATAAACATTGTGTTTGTATTGTAGCATATTGGCCTTTTCCAACAAGCTGATCCTGGAAGATTTGTATACCTTTATGCCTCCATTGTTTTTCCATGTTTTAGCTTCCTCTTTGAACCACATTTGCCACTGCAGCTGTGCCCTGGGTTACAGAACAGCATGTACCAGCTCTCCCCAGTCCTGTGGTATAATCCTATTATAAGTTGACCAGGAGTTTAACATTTGCTTTACATATGGGGAATGCATGCCATAAGATACTATTGCCTCGTTAAACCTTCGTAAATCTAACATTTGAATTGGAGTCCAAATATTTTGTGCATTCACTTGACCAGGTAGCTGCTCTACAGTTACCAGATAAATTAAGTGTGATTATGTGAAAACAGGCTTTCTTTCTATAACCTTATAATCCAATCCTGAAACAATTTCACTGTTAATTTCTTCTATCTGAATCTGAATGTCTTTATAATTCATTTTAACAAGTTTAACAGGTTTTTCTAAAGCTTTTATCCTGGCACTTAAATTGACTATCTTTTTAAATAGAAAAATAAAGATAAGAAAACTAATAATGTGCATAATCCCATCAACATTAATCTTCTCATATAGTTGTTCCATTTTCATACTGCCTAAAATTTAATCAAACAATGCCCAATTTCCTTCCAATATACACATAAAAACCATTTTTTTAATGTGGAAAAAAATTTGTTTTAAATAGTATTTTCCTTTAAAATATCTGATATCTTACTTGATGTAAAAAGTTTGCATAGAACAGTAGAAATCCAAGAGAATTTCAAAACAGCTACCTAGTGTCCGAGGTGTGAATCCAGAGAGAGAGAAAGAGAGAGAAAGAAAGAAAGAAAGAAAGAAAGAAAGAAAGAAAGAAAGAAAGAAAGAGTAGCCTCAAGTTCTTGATAAAAGCTTGAATCTAGCCAAGGGTTCCCACTTGAGCCGAGTCGAGCCTGGGCTCTGGATTCCGTAAGCTCTGACACTGTGTGTTGGCGTTTAAATGCAGCTGTTGAAATTATAGTCGAGTGCAGCTGACCGGTAGCTCTGGCAGGCCTGAGTTGTTTGTAGCACTGGCTTTAAGCAAGTAGCTCCAGCTGTGGGTAACCACTTGTAGCTAAGGTCAGTCGGGCCTGGGGCCTAAGCTGAGCTGGGCCCAGGCAGAGAGCCAGGCCCACCCAGGCGGGAAACTGGGCTGGGCTGCCAACCCAAGCCGAACAGTTTTTAATGAATTTTTGCCACGTGACTGCCAAATGTAGATGAACATTGTTATTTAAATAAGAAACACAGAGCCACATGCAGAATTAAAAGCCCAAGAGGTCAGAGCAATAGCTGAGAGCTAAAATCTTTTCTTACCTTTCACTGCCACTGCTGTCCTTACCCTCAGCAAGAGGCCTACTTCCTGTGTTTGTCCTTTTATTGACTTTCTGTTCTGCCTTCTCATTGGTTGTAAACCCACCCACATGACCTCCTCTCACTGCCTGTCTATACAGACCTCCAGGTCTTCTAGGGTTGGTATTGATATTAAAGGCATATGTCTCCATGCTGACTATATTCTTGAACATACAGACAACACAAGAAGTAGATATAAGCACAGAGACCCACTCACTCACACACTCAGGATCCCCCAAAACACTACACTGAGCACCATAATATATACCAATGGACCTGCTTCCCTGGCCAGAGTCAAAAATGGCATCTCCAATGAAGAGAGGAATGTTTCTTAAAATACAGAAAAGGTTGAATTATCTCTTTAAGTGTAGTTTGGAGTGCGGGAGGAGGAATGCCAGCCAGTCATTCCTACAGTGGTAGGTGACAAAGGGAATGCTGCTCCCTCTGCAACCTGTGGCCAAAGCCTCTGGGAAGCTGTTTCGTTGAAGTGATTAAGTATTCTGAGAAGTTCCCACTCTGTGAACTTCTCCCACCTCCAGTTGCTTGTGAGGTTTACCTTAGCTTTGCCTGGCATCTAGGCAGACTGCAGATGAGGAGGCCTCTGATGGGAATGTGAACACCATATCCACCTCCACAGACCATTCCATGAAACACTCTTCAGGCTAAAGCAATGTGTTTCCAGTTCATGAAGCAAGTGTCTCTCAGTGTCTGCATGCTGTCACTCCTCCTCACAAGTCCAGGGAACAACAACAAAAACAGGATAAAATCAGGTTTTCTGGCTGAAGGGAATCAGTATTGACCATAAACAAAAATTATCTCCAGTTGTTGCATGCCTTCTTTTAAAGTATTTTTATTATTTATTCAATGTTTTCCATGATTTTGAGGATAAAAACTTAAACTTTTTTAATTATTATTTATTATAGGGCTATGGGTGTTCTGTCTGCATGTATATCTCTGAACTGCATGCACAGTTAGTGTCCGGATAAGCCAGAAGCAGTCATTGGATCCCCTGGAACTGGAGTTACAGATTGCTTTGATCCATCACCCCAGTGCTGGAATAGATCCCAGGTCCTCTGGAAGAGCAGCCAGTGTTCTTCATCACTGAGCCATCTCTCCAGCCCCAAATCCAAACTTGTCAACCCATCATTCCAGTCTCACACTATCTGTCCTGCTCCCTTCTGACCCCTGTCCCTCTCTCCCTGTCCTTCTGTGCTCTGTTACAGTATACACAGCTACTTGCAGCTCCCAAGCCCGGTGCAGCCTCACATCATGGACCACACAGGTTGTCCTAGAAGGCCCTGTAGTCAGCTTCTATTCCCCCTGACAATTTGGCTCTTTAAAATAGGCAGAGCAGGCTCAGCGTGGTGGTGCAGGTCTTTAATCCCAGCACTCAGGAGGCAGAGGCAGGAGGATCTCTGTGAATTCAAATGCCAGCCTGGTCTACATAGAGAGTTCCTGGGCAGTCAGAGTTCCATGTTAAAATTCTCTATCTAGTCTCAGCACCACCATTGTGTTTGTACTAGTTACTATCCATTTGTTTGCAAAGATCATTATTTTGTTTTTACCTGAGTAATGCTCTATTATGCAAATGTACCACATTTATCCACTAGTAGTTGACGGACTTCTAGGTTGTTTCCAGTTCCTGGCTTGTGTTACTGATCCTAGCCATTCTGACAAGTGTAAGATGGAATCTCAAAGTAGTTTTGATTTACATTTCCCTGATAGCTAAGAATGTTCAACATTTCTTTAAGTGTTTATTGGCCATCTGAGATCCCTCTACTGAGAATTCTCTGTTTTAATGTGTACCCCATTCTTTATTGGATTTTTTTGTTGATGCCTAGTTTCTTGAGTTCTTTATACTTTGTACTTTGGATATTAGTCCTCTATTGGATATGGAGTTGGTGAAAATCTTTCCTTATTTTGTAGGCTGAAATTTTGACCTGTTGATGGTGTCCTTTTCCTTACAGAAGCTTTTCAGTTGTATGAGGTCCCATTTATTAATTTTTCATCTTAATTCCTGTGCTAACAGAGTTCCATGCTGGATATTGTCTCCTGTGCCTGTGAGTTTTAGGCTATTTCTCACTCTCTCTTCTATCAGATACACTATATCTCGTTTTATGTTTGGGTTTTTTTTCTTTGTGTTTCAAGACAGGGTTTCTTTGTGTACCCTGGTTGTCCTGGAACTCTCTCTGCAGGCCAGATACTTCTCTTGGTTCCTGTTACTACAAGACAGATGAGTAATGGGGACAGTTCTCCCATGGTCACAGTTTTAGGACTGGCTGTCTCACAGCTGAGTTAAGAGAAGTTGGTTTGTCTGTCTGTCTGTCTGTTTGCTTATTTGTTTTTCATTTTTCAAGTCAGGGTTTGTCTTTCCTGGATCTAGCTCTCTAGACCTGGCTGGCCTTGAACTCACAGTGATCCACCTGCCTCTGCCTCCTGAGAGCTGGGACCGAAGTTGTGTGCCAGCACTGCCTGGCTTTTCTATTTTATATTATTTAAAAAATTGAAATTTGCGTAAGGATGGCCTTACTGCTGCAGAAGGTCTTTGAGTCCCTCTGAAACAATTCAGGGTCATGGTCCTTTGGAGAGACGATATGTCAGGTCAATGGAACAGTCCAGATACAGTAATTCACTGGGGGCGAGGCTGTGTTTGTGTTTTTCCTCAAGGTGCTGCCCAGTGACCCTTTGCAATGAACATATGGAAGTAGAGATGTGTGGACAAAGGGACAAAGGGGTACACAGTGTGACTTGTTGGGTCCCATTTGAGCTTCCTAACAGTCTATGCTGAGGGTGCTGTGGTTCAGGGACAGCTTCATACTGTACGCAAACCCCAGACTCTGGCCATGGAAGAGCCAACAGATGGAGCTATCAGGGTCCTTTGAGAAGCAAGCCAGGAACACATAGTCCAGTTCTTTGACAGTGGTGTTGATGACTTGGATGAAGGACAGAGTCACTGGCTCTGTGGATAAACAGTGGAGGGGACCAGCTGAGAGTCCTTCACCCTCAGATCTCAGTCAGCTCCCACAGCTCACAAAATGGCATGGCTCTCTGCAAGAGCACATGTTTGGGTTCAAGACAGGGTGTGTAAGACAGAGCTGAATCTTCCTCCTCCCCAGATCTCCCACAGTGACCCCTGATTCAGGGTATTTGTGTAGATACCATACTGAGTTTCTCTTCAGCCCACATGTCCAGATATCTCATGTGGGTGGGGGTTTATATCCAATTGACCTTTGTTCATTTTCTCCTTCACACTTTCTGTGAGTGTGGTTAGGTCCCTCCATGATGAAATAGCTTTCTGTATCTTTTTCACTAAATAATTTTTGGGCCATTGTCAGGTGTTTGATATTGATTGACATGAATCAGGGAACCCTATAAAAATTTGAGTCTAGGAAATGATCCATAAGACTAAAGGTCACCTTGTAAGGTCTCCATGGTGGGGAGGGTTAAGCCATTGCTGTGGACAGAGAGCTTGTGCTACCCACTGCCTCTGTGACCCTGACTCAGTGACTGTGTTTCCTGTCCCAGTTTCTCTAAAAGGACGAGGATGTGAGGGCGATCTGGCTGCGACATCTGTCACCCCATTGATCGCCAGGGTTGATTCGGCTGATCTGGCTGGCTAGGCGGGTGTCCCCTTCCTCCCTCACCGCTCCATGTGCGTCCCTCCCGAAGCTGCGCGCTCGGTCGAAGAGGACGACCTTCCCCGAATAGAGGAGGACCGGTCTTCGGTCAAGGGTATACGAGTAGCTGCGCTCCCCTGCTAGAACCTCCAAACAAGCTCTCTAAAAGGACGAATGGTAAATTACCATTGCCATGCCTGCAAGTTAACTTTAATTGTGAACAATGACCTGACTTTTCACCAAGCAGTATCTGCTCCCATTTGCCTGCAGGAAATAATCCATAAATTGGACCCCTGGAGATCAAGGAGCTGCCATGTGTACACTTTTCCTTCTATCTCTTTTGGGCTTTTGACCTTCCTGCAATGTCTCAGAAGACCATCAGAAGAGCTGGCTGATTGCCTTTCCTACCTTTCCACCTATGCTGAGCACACTGAGTCTCAGGAGGAGATGCCCAGGTGACCTACCTCAGACATGGCTCTCAGAGGCTGACTGTCAGCAGGCTCCCAGTCTACAATCCATCATTGTCCCCTGTGAGCTCCAACAGGAGGACACATTCCAATCCAGTCTACAAGCTTCCCAGTTCTCCTGGTCCAGTTTTGGACATACTTCTGGAGAAATGCTTAGTGTACTCATCTCTCTGTGAGACTCTCCTTGTTTCCTCAGTCATGCCCTACTTGAGTTCTGCAGGGTCTTTCTCAAGGCCATGTTCATGATGAACATCTAAGACCCTGGGCAGTGTCTGACATGCCTGGGCTTAGTTACCTCACCCCCTCTTCTCTGAGGTTGGAATCAAGTGAGGCATCCTGATTTTTGCTGACTTTTACCACTGTGTGTCCATTATCAAATGTTTTAACCACAATGTTGGGACCATAACAGTGTCATCCAGGACTGACAACCCTGTGTGTGAAGTAGGGTTAGCTCCACCCACAGCCCAGAGTGCTGGAATCCAGGTCCAGAGGGGTTCTGTGCAACAGGACATATGTGTGACGTTGGTGAAGAATGAAGAGTCTGACCACCGATTGCCTTTCCCACTGATGGTCCCCACCAGCTCAGGCCATCTTCACTACACAAGTTCTAATGCATTCAAGCAATCAAGCATGAGCAATTCATAATCATTTCTTATTAATAATTTTCCCAAATCATTAACATTTATTCATTTTAGTTTTTGTTTTTCATCCCATTCCCTTGATGTCATTGGCCTTTACCCCACATCATTATAGTGTTAGACAAATGATTATATCTGGACAGGCACATCTTCTTCATACTGTGCCCTAGCTGGCAGCAAATGTGGTTACAAAGTAAGAGATTCAAGCCCTGTTATTAGTTCTTAACAATATGATACTTTCATATTTTTGTAATCAGCTGAGTATATTTTCACAGCAAGGATATCATTTTCAGGTGTATGCCAATTTCTAAGTAATCTGTAGATCACTTTTATGTGGACTACAGTCATAATCCTATTCTTTATAAGTTTTCAAAATAGTAAAGATTATTACCTAACTCTTTAACACTGGAATAAAATTTTCTATTTTTCCTGATAATTTCTGAATGATGTTTTCCTTTAAGGGAACCGGGAGTTTTAGGTTCCTTTATAGATATTTGACATTAGAAAAATATCTGAGTGTTCATGTCCTGGTGCCAGAGAAATGTCTGACCTTTCATGTCCTATATCTTTTCCTCATATATGCCTGTAAGTATTGAAGGTCAACTTTTAAGAAATCATTTTCCAAGTTCTTAAGTTCTTTGGAGTATATTTATCTCTTTCTGGAATTGAATAAGCAATAATCATTAACCTTAGTGAGTTCTTCCTGCTCACTCAGGATGACTGCCAAGGCAGCCAGAGATGACCAGAGACACTGTTTTCTGCAACGAAACAGAGCTTTATTCCCAGTAAACTCAGGCAAAATCACAACTAAAGAGCAAACTAAGATTTACCCTAAGAATAAGCATAGCCAAAGTTAGAGAGGCCTGAAGCCCATGAGCTCCCTAGGATCAGCACAGATGTCTGCAGTATTGTTTCCATAGGTCTTTCCAAATGGATGGGATTCTCCAAAGGGCCTTGCCTTCTAAACAGCTCCATTTGCAAAACATTTCTGTGCCTTTCCCAGGGGTGACTGCATGGCTTCTACCAGGAGAGGTTATAGAGAATTACTTGGGGTGTACTGTGAACTGCACGGAAGCAAACACAGTATCAAAGTTTTCCATTATCATACATAGTATGTAGAATCCTGCGTCTTTCTGAGTTACATTCTGCAAGAGCAAGGATCCATTAGGGTATATCATCTCTCTGCCGCTGTATGCAAGCCCTGTTTCATTTGTAAAACTGGATGTTAAAAATTGTGCAATTAGATTACTCTTATTAAGAGTATTTTTCTTGTCCCAGAAAAAGGCTCGCACTTTCCCTGGAAGATTGTGGACAAGTAGAAGAACATTCTTCCCTTCAGTAACGTGGGGTGGAACTGCTTCAATATTGACTTGGGCTAGTTTACGAGAGCCTAACAGGGAAGAGAGAAAAATCTATCAATATTGGGACCTTTGCATTTTGTCGAATTTTGAAATCTGAGTGTGTTCAACACTCAGCCTTGGTGTGCGTATCCTGTTGGGGAGAGGTCAGCAGCATCACCCTCAATCATCAGTACCCCTGAATCTTTCCACTGTATGAAACTGTCTTCTCAGTGTCTACACAGCTCACCCCTCACTAAACCCAGATCCCTGCTCACACTCAGAATCTATGGTGAGTGTAGGCATGTCTTGTCTGACCTCCTCCTCTAAAGACACTGTACCTTCATTTTCTGACCTTTCCATGCTCTGTTTCTTCTGAAGAGCTTGTCAGCCCCTGAGCCCACCTTCTAGATGTCCTTGTTGCTCTGTCTTCCTGCTCAGTAGTACTAGGGCTTTGTGAGGAGACTAGTTTGATTTTGGTTTAGAGCCCACTGCCTGGAACAGGCTCAGATACCTGTGAGCAAATCAGTGTCCCAGAGCCTGGGGTTTATTTGCAGATTCTCACTATCCTACATAATGACTCTGTCTTTTACTCTCCCCAGTTTGAGTTTAACTTGGAAAGTCACCCTGACAGAGGTGTGAATGTCAGACTTCAGGATAGTGGCCAGTGCTGATAAACAAAGGCCAGGGTGGTTGGGAACTTGTAGCACTTCTATCTCTGCCTCTGGCATGCCAGGGTGAAAGGCATGCAGCTTGTGTTCAGTTTGCTTGGTGTTTTATCATGAGGTTAACATGAATCCATCTTGAGCCATATTTTTCTCCTTGTGACTTTTACCCATTTTGCACAGTATTGATAGAGAAATTACCCCCACCCCCAAAACTATGGAGTAAGATGAGAGCAGAGGTCACTCACGTATGTCCAGCTTGATGGGGTCACTCCTCTTGGAACTGATTGGATTGGAGAGCTCACACTGGTACTTCCCAGAATCCTCTCTTCTGACAGGGTCTATGTGGAGGGTACTATTGTTTTGGGACAGCTTCATTCTTTTCGTGAGCCCCAGACTCTGGCCATTGAAGAGCCATTGGATGGAGATGTCATCGAAGAACCAACTGATATAGATCCCCATGTCATTTGAAGAGCAGCTCAGAAACACAGAGTCCAGTTCTATGACTTTGGTATTGGTGACTCGGATAAAGGGCAGAGTCACTGGCTCTGTGGATAAATAGTGGAGGAGACCAGCTGAGAGTCCAACACAATCAGGGATCTCAGCCAGCTCCCAGGGCCCACAGAATGAAGTGGTTCTCTACAAGATCACATGTTTGGGTTCAATATATAGTTTGTAAGGAGAGATCTGAATCTTAATCCTACCCTATCACCCACAGTGACCCTGACTTATGATATTGTGTAAATTCCACCTTGGGAGCCACTTCAGTCCCCCGTGTCCATACATCTAGTGGTGGGTAATGTATTTCCCATTGAATTTTGTGCAAATTCTTGCTCACACTTTCTGTGAGTGGAACAGTCAGGATCTGTCTCAGTTTCCCTAGAATAGAACACATAGTAAATGATCCTTGCCATGCCTGCAAGTTAACCTTAAATGTGAACAATGACCTCACCTTCCACTAAGAAGTGTCTGCTACTATTTCCCTTCAGGGAATATTTTTTTTTTGGCTGGACTCCTGTTGTGTAAGGAGCTGCAATTTGTACACCTCTATCTCTTTAGGGTTCTTGACCTTCCTGTGAGGTCTTCGAAGATCATCAGAAGAGCTGGCTGATTGCCTTTCCTACCTCTCCACCTATGCTGAGCACACTGAGTCTCAGGAGGAGGTGCCCAGGTGACCTACCTCAGACATGGCTCTCAGAGGCTGACTGTCAGAAGGCTCCCAGCCTACAACTTATCATTGTGCCCTGTTGAAGGGGAAACATCAGTTTCCATTTTGAGAGTTGTCCCCCATCTTGAGGTATCTGCTGACCTGGGGATGAACTCAGAGCTGACCGGTGATAGAATTCATGTGGAAATGGGCTTGAACAATAAATCTGAATGTATATATATCCAGGACCCAGCTCAGCAGGATATAGGGAGTAAAAATTTATGTCTCTATAGATACCCTGCATACTGTCAGCATCCTGGGGCTTACTGCAGACATCCTGTCAGCCTTCAGTAAATTCATGCTTATAGTTCTACCAATAACTTCCAAGAGCTACCTCACCCCTAGCTCCCCCATCCAATTCCAGGACACCAAGATATATATCCACTGCCTGTAAACGTTTTCTTATCTAAACACCTTGTAATACATGCCCTGGGCCTTCCTCCTTCACTCAAAGTAACTGAGTGTCAAACAAGGTCCTTCCCCCAGCTTGAAGAAAGAAACATTTTGTCTTTGCATGGAAAGTCAGCTCCTTGGTAGTCTTGTCCCAAAGGAGGCATAACATTGTCAGCTCCAAAAGAAGGTCCAATTCAAACCAGTTTACAAGCTTCCCAGGTTTCCTGATCCAGTCTAGGATGGAGGTCTGCAACAAAGCTTCTGGTGCTCATCTCTCTGTGAGACTCTCATGGTTTCCTAAGCCAGACCCGGCCTGAGTTCTGAAGGGTCTTTATCAAGGCCATGTTCATGATGAGTATCTAAGACCCTGGGCATAGTCTGACATGCCTGGTCTTAGTTACCTCACCCTCTATCCTCTGAGAGTTTAGGTATCAAGTGGGGCATCCTGATTTATTGCTGTTTTATCCACTCTGTGTCCTTTACTGAATGCTAGATCCACCATGTGGGGACTGTAACGTAGAGTCATCTAGGACTGACAACCCTATATGTGAAGTAGGATTAGCTCCACCCAAGGCCCAGAGGTTACAGAGAATGACTTACGGTGTACATGGAACTGCACAGATGCACTCTCATAATCATAGTTTTCCATGATCATGTTTAGCATGTAGGTTCCTGCATCATTCTGAGTGACGTTCTGGAAGAGCAAGGACCCGTTGGGGTATATGGTCTCTCTGCCGCTGTATGCAGGCCCTGTTTCATTTGTATTACTGGGCATTAGAAATCCTGCAATTTCATTCCTGTCATGGACAGTTTCTCCCTTGTGCCAGTAAAAGGCTTCCACTGTCGCTGGCAGATTGTGGACAAGTAGAAGAACATTCTTCCCTTCAGCAACGTGGGGCGGAACTGCTTCCACAGTGACGTGGGCAGTGGTGGGAGAGGCTAAGAGAGAAGAGAGACAAACCTATTAATACAGGACCTTTGCATTTATTTGGTAGAAATTTGAAACCTACATGTGTTGTTCAACTCTCAGTTTTGGTGTGTGTCCTGTTAGGGAGAGGTCAGCAGCACCACCCCCATTCATGACTACATCTGAATCTTCCCACTGTAAGAAAATGTCTTCTCAGGTGTTACAAAGACTCTGTGCCTTCATTTTCTGACTTTTCCATGCTCTGTTTTTTCTGAAGTACTTGTCATCCCCTGAGCGCACCTTCTAGATGTCCTTGTTGCTCTGTCTTCCTGCTCAGTAGTACTAGGGCTTTGTGAGGAGACTAGTTTGATTTTGGTTTAGAGTCCACTGCCTGGAACAGGCTCAGATACCTGTGAGCAAATCAGTGTCCCAGAGCCTGGGGTTTATTTGCAGATTCTCACTATCCTACATAATGACTCTGTCTTTTACTCTCTCCAGTTTGAGTTTTACTTGGAGAGTCACCCTGACAGAGGTGTGAATGCCAGTCTTCAGGATAGTGGCCAGTGCTGATAAACAAAGACCAGTGTGGGTGGGAACTCTTTGTCTGAAGTGTCCTGGGGTTAAAGGCATGCAGTACCCTGTTTAGCTTGCTTGGTCTTTCATCATGAAATTAACATGCATCCATCACCAAGCTGGCTGTATTTTTCTCTTGTACCATGTTTTTCTCCTTGTGACTTTGACCCATTTTACACACTGTTGATAAAGAAACTGCCCCCACCCCCAACCCTACAGAGTAAGAAGGAAGGAGAGGTCACTTACGAATTATGTCCACCCGGATGGGGTCACTCCTCTTGGAACTGACTGGATTGGAGACCTCACACTGATACTCCCCGGAATTCTCCCTCCTGACAGGGTCTATGCTGAGGGTCCTGTTTTTATCAGATAGCTCCATCCTGTTTGTGAGCCCCAGTCTCTGGCCATTGAACAGCCAATGGGTTGACGACACATCATGGATCCAAAAGAGGGACATGTTCCAGTCGTCCATGTCATTTATTATGCAGGTCAGGAACACAGAGTTCAGTTCTTTGACCGTGGTGTTAGTGACACGGATGGAAAGTTCAGGTATCCGACCTAAGTGGAGAGTTAGGTATCTGATAAAGTTTGATAAGTTTAGGTATCTGATAAAGAGTGAAGGGGACCAGCTGAGCGTCCTTCACCCTCACAGATCTAGGCAGCTTCCAGGGCCCACAGAACAAAGAGGCCCTCTGCAAGATCAAGTGTTTGGGTTCCAAATAGGGTTTGGAAGGGAAGATCTGCATCTTCCTCCAACCCCAATCACCCACAGTGACCTCCGACTTAGGGTGTTTGTGTAGATACCACACTGGGAGGCTCTTCAGCACCAGTGTACAGAAATATGGGGGGAGATGTATTTCCTGCTGATTTTTGTACAAACATTTGCTCAAACCTTCTGTGAGTGTGATCAGTCAGGTCCCTCCGTTATGGATTAGCCTTCTGTTTCTTTTTCATTAAATAACTTGTCATGAGGTTAAGATGGCCCAGCTAATCTTTGAGGTGTTAAAGCCTAGACGTCATGACTGAGAGTAATCTCTAACTGAAGAATTTCTATTAGAATACAAGTTTTATTTCCTGCCCCATGGGTATGGATTAAATACCACAGAGTAGAAGGGAATAATCACAGTGTTGACCACCACAGCCTGCCAATCTAATCCTCAATATTTAATATATATTTTTGAGACTGGGTCTCACTCTGCAGTCCTGACTAGCTTGGAACTTACTATGCAGACCAGGCTGCCCTCAAACTCACACTGTCTACATGATTCTCCCTCCTCAGTGCGGGCATTAAAGGTTTGGACCACCACACTCAGCCCACATTTGTTTTTTGGAACCTTGGGAAGAGTAAGCAAAAGAGCATCATCAACTGTCAGTGACATGGTTCACCCTGACTCAGAACAGAGCTCGCAGACACCTTCACCCACTCTTCCCATTCTAGAGATTCAGAGCTAAACCAGCCACCAGTGAGACAGGAGCAGAGTTCCTTGAGAGCAGAGCTCTGCACTGCTGGTCCCTTCTGTGGAGAATATTCTCCTCCAAATAGGGAAAAAGAATGTGAGCACAGTTGGAAGCCCTGGGTGTTTCTTCTAGGCCATAGAGGTCATAAAATGAAAATGGAGGGGACAGGAAGGCTTGTGTTAGTCACAGAAAGAAACATTGACCTTGAGGTTCTCTCTCCCCTGGGAGTCCCTCACATAACATGAGGCTTTCCAATGCTGGGAGAACCTCCTGCTCACATTCCAAGCTCCATTCCTATCAGCCAAGAGAACTCAGAGAAGCAGGGGATGATTAGACATAGGGATGGAACATGAAGCTCAGTGAAGGACTGAGTTTTGCTTGTTCCTACAGACATGGCTGGAAATTAAATGCTTCTGCTTCTTCCCAGGAAGGCAAAAGACTCTACCCCGAACCTTGTGCTGATATTTCAAAGATCCATTTACTAAGGACTGTAATGTTCTTGACTGTGGTCCTATTGACTCCAGGGAAATAGTTATAGACGAGGCAGATAGAGGATCCACTATTATTAGTATTGATGTTGGGGATAAAGTGCTTTTGGGAGAATGACTGGAGCTCTCCATTGACAAACCGAGAGTACTGTGGAAGTGGGTTAGCATCTGTGTGGCAGGAGAGGCTGAGGTTTGTCCTTGAATGAAAATGAATATTTGAGGGGAATATGATCGGGACATCTGGACCATCTGGAGCAAACAGAACAATCCACAAGTGATGGATATGCAGAGGGAAGGTGAAATGTTGGTGTGTGGAAGGCCATAGTATCTCTTTGAGCTGTGCATTGACTGTAGTTGAGAAGGTCCTACCCAGAACTGGTGTGCAGATTAGTAGATGAGTATTCATGCAGCATGCACAAGTCCTGATCCATCTTAAGCAAAACACACAAACATCTCCACTCCACACTTATGTGTACACTGTGCCTGAGTCTGACATGTCCCCTGTTTTCATCACCCTGAGCCTCTCTAGGCAGAAGAAGTCCCTCCAGCCCTTTCAGACTAAATGCTGTGCTTGTCTACATGTGCTTGGGTAGGTAGGGCCTGGATGCTCTGGCAGTCTAGGTATCTGTATGGTGGTCTGTGTCATGAACCCAAGGGGACCAGGAACTAGTATGGTAGCTCTAGCCCTCTGTATTTAGGCCATTGGGGCCAGGATGAAACAGAAAATACTAACAGGTAATGTTCAGAGAGAATGGGTGACCTCAGGAGGCACTCAGTGGGTTCCATCTTGCACACTCATAGGGTCCTGTCAGTTCTCACAACACTGAGTAAAGTGAGAGCCCTGTTGTCCTCAGACAGCATCAGCCTGTCCTCCTCAGAGAGGCTTTGGCCATTTATCCTCCACAGGTAGATTATATTCTGAGTCTTAGGCTCACACATTAATGCTACTGGAGATCGCTCTCTGGTATAAAAATTCTTGCTTGTGGTTTTGGGCTTGGGTATCATTGCTGTGTGGACAACAGAGAGAAGATTACCTAGTGTGGTACCTCTGATTTTTGCAAGGGCATCTTTCTACCAGGGATAGTCTCTTAACTTCCCAACAACACAGGTCCTTAAAGAATCATGTAGGAAGAAAATTATGGGCAGATGGAGTGGCTGAGTGCTGAGATAATGGGGCCTCCTGTGTTATGTGTGGGAGAAGCAAGGGCTTTCTCATGAGTGTACTGAGCTGCAGTGTTTGGTGATGGACAGACTCAAAACTTAGAATCAGAGACCTCATTTTATCTCCTGGTCCTCAGGGATCCATTGCCTGCCTTGAGACTCAAGGTTTGAGTCCCTCCAGCTGCACTGACCTCCCCTGCTAAGTGTAGACCTGTGCCCTAAGCCTTTGCTGTTCAGGACTGTCCTACAGATTGCTCATGAAGAGTCCTCCCATGGAGCTTCCCTGAGAAACCTGACAGCCTGTCAGAGATCTCACACAGCTCAGGATCAGGTTGGCATTCAGGATGGGCTGGGCCACAGCTGGCCCATTCTTGTCAGGTGTTTGATGTTGATTGACTTGAATCAGGGAACCTTCAAAGAAGCCTGAGTCTACAAAATGATCTAGAAGACTTAACATCTTCTAGAACCACAATATGCGGACCATAACACATAGTCACCCAGGATGAAATCCCTGTATGTAAAGTAGGATTAGCCCCACCCAGGACCCAGATATTACAGAGAATCACTTACGGTATATCCGTAGGTTCACATATGCACACCGACCATTGCTATCATATACGTTGTATGGTCCGTCATCATTAAGAGTAACATTCTTGATGAACAGTGATCCATTGTTGTATAGTTTCTGTTTGCCTGTGTATCGTTCCCCTGGAAAATGTACTTCTCCATCACTTGAAGAATATCCAATATATTGTGGTTCGTGTGTAAACAAATCTCTATTCCTGTGCCAGGCGAAAGTACCCGGACTCAAATTTCGGGCATGTAGAAAAACATCATCCCCTTCTCCAATATAGGGTGGAACTATTTCAATAACGGAATACTGATTAGAACAAGAAGTGGTGGGAGAGGTCCAGTAGGTTAAAAGTGAGGCTGTGAGGGAAAAGAGAAAAATCTGTCAATATTAGGACCTTTACATTTGGTAGAAATTTGAAACCTGAGTGTGTTCAACTCTCAGTCTGGGTGTGTGTGTCCTGTTGGGGATAGTCAGCAGCACCACCCCCATTGCTGCTCTGACTTCCTGTACAGTAGGACTAGGGCTATGAGGGGAGGACATGTTTGATTTGGGTTTAGACCCCACTGCCTGGAACAGGCTCAGATACCTGTGAGCAAATGAGTGTCCCAGAGCCTGGAGTTTATTTGCAGATTTCTCAGGGTCCTATGTAATGAGGTTGTTGTTTACCGGCTCCAGTTTGTGTTTTACTTGGAGAATCACCCTCATAGATGTGTGAATGCCAGTCTTCAGGATACAGAGGTCAGTTCTGATAAACTTACACTCACTACATCTGAGTTTTTCCTCCCCACTTCCAATTCCCATCCACTGTGAGCTTCCTGTTGCTCTCAGGCTTCAAGTAGAAGCCAGTTTCCTCTCCTAGAAGACCCCATCCGATCTCTGAGATTTCCTACTCCCTTCTCCAGAGGACTATCTCCTCACCTATAAGCAGGAGTCCCCTCCAGGAGACCTGTTCTTTGTGGTGTAGGGCTGAAGTGAGCTCCATAGTCTCTGCTGTGGGTTATGCTCTTCCTCTGGAGAGGAGATTTGCCTCTCAGGTTGCTGCCAAGCTGGGCTCCTCTGGTGTCTGCTCTGCTTTTATTCCAAGAACTGAGCCTCTTTCCAGAGGAGGGCACCTCTTGGAGTCAGATGGGCTGGGGGTGGAGTCTGTGTGTGTACATTGCTCTGTTCTTCTGTGAGTGCTGCCTCCCATCCTTCTATTCCTTTCTGGTTCAGTGTTCTAGAACATATTTTGAGCCCCAAGTCTGAGAAGTATCCTGTGTTCCAAAAGAACTGCAGCCCACCCCAGGGCCTTGTCCCTAAACTTCCTATAGCGGTGAGTATATTTCCTTGAGAACCCAAAACCTCACAGAGCCCAGTCTGCCCTGTGATCTCAATGCTCAGGAATGGAGGGATTTACTCCCAGCACTTGGTGGCAGTCCTCTCTAGGGACTGGAAAAGGTCCAGCTGTGTGATGACTGTGGAGGGCCCAGTTCCATCCTCACTGGTGTCACCAATCACGTGTCTCATCCAGGGATACACGTTATCTCAGGGGTTCATATCCTGGTGTGCAGGATGAGGTGACCTGTGTGTCCTAGTAGTGGACCCTGTGCTCCAGGGCACCAGGGAGAGCACCCTCACCCTGGCTTCCTGTCCTGGCTTAGTGTGATTCAGGTCTGCCCATGCCCTCCCTGACCTTTCTGGGTTGCCATTGTTCTCCTTGGTGGTTGCACTGTGATCTTCCTGTCTTTCCTCATGGATGATGAGGGAAGGGAGGGGACTACACAGGGTCTCCTTGCAGAGTGGGGGTCTCCGAAATACAGGAAATAATTATGTGAGGGAGCTCCAGGTCTGTTGGAACTGGGATAGAAACAAGGCTGCAAGACAGGTTCCCACCTCAGGGAGAGTTTTCCCTGTTGATATGAGGTTTATTGTCACCCCCTCTTGTTCATGAGGAGACCTGCAGATCATGGCTCTTGTCTGGGCTGCCACATTGATTATAGCCAAGCTCCAAATGCTGGAATGTAGCTGGGCAGCAAGTTTCCCAGGAAGGTCCCAGTGTGCAGCTGCCTTTGAGGATTTAGGTAGATTTTTGCTGGAGACTGGAAGAGCTGAGTTGAGACTCACTGCCGTTTTGATTTGCAGTTCCATGAAGACTGATGATGTTGAGCCCCATGGTTAAGACAACTTGTTGGAATGACATTTTCACTCAGGTGTCATTTGATGTCTACTCAACCCCAAATCTTCAGTGGTTCTTTGGCGATCACAGGCCTCATTCAAATGTCTCTGCCTAGCTTCCATGACCCTGTAACCTATGGCAGTTTTGCCAGGTTAGCATTACCATAATTCAGGCACAGTTCTCTTCTTTGGAGGGAACCTTAGAACTCCCACTAAGAGCTGGCATTTTGTCTGTCATGGGAAGCTATTTTCATTTAACACTTTCAATGCCATACTCAGCTGATCTCTGAAGAGTTTTTAAGGGCCATCCCTTAGACATATGTATAACTTTAGATATTTGTTTAGTCTTTACTTTGAAAACCTACACAGCATGTGAAATAAAGTTTATCCTTGTCAATAAACTGCATTTGTTTTTAGCACAAGTACAAGCAAAGTTCTGAGCACTTTTTGAGGTGGCTGACGATTAACCTGAATGTCCTAATTATAGCCTAAAAAATTATAATTCTTGAATTGAAGCTCTTTTAGTATCAAAATAAAACTTTAAATCAAAATTACAACTCATACAGAGACAGGGAGTCTTATAAAACCATCCATATAGTACACAGATAGATTGGGAACTTCATTTTTTTAATCCTTTCATACAGTATATTTTGCATCAGTACAGAATATCACAGTTTCTTGTATGTCTCAGTTTACCCAAATAGCTAAATCTGAAAAAAGTAGCAAAGACAAAGAGGCCAGATAAACATTTTCAAGTCAGTCTCTCTTGGCCTGAGTTGACCAAGGTAAGGAGAGACATGTCATAGGCTCTTTGCCAAACTGCTTAGGCCATCATCTGGCTGCATGGTATAATAGAAATATCTCAGTTCTTGGTGTTCTAGCTGTGGTCCTAACACCTTGTCTTCTAGTCCCCTGTCTCATATATTTAATTTTCCTTTCATCCTTTCTCACCATTTCACCCTATTTCTCCAACCTCTGATATTCTTTATCTAGAATAACATAGCTCTCTGCTATCTCAGTCTGTGTGAAAGCTGGCCACATCTTATCTCATGACATTAAACCTCTGTTGGTCTTTGTAAGTCATGTTTTCATTCAGAAGTCCAACTAGAGATGCCAGTCCGTCCAAGCTGGCATCCATCAAAACCTGGCCAGAAGCCAGCAGTCCTAAGGCAGGAGGTGACCTTGGGTGATTTTTTTTTGAGAGAGAGCTTCGTTTATGGAGCTTTCCTACTTGGTTCTGTTTCTGGCAGCATTTTCTGTCTTTTTTTTTCTTTAAAAGAAAACTTTATTTATGATGTGCATGTGTTTGTCTCTGTGTGGAAATACACTGAGTGCTGGAGCTGGAGGAGTACTCCACAGGAAGCCATAGGACCCTGGAGCTGGAGTTACAGGCAGTTATGAGCTGCTGCTGTGGGTGCTGGAAACTGATCTGGTTCTCTGAAGGGACAGCAGGTGCTCTTAAATGCTGAGCCATCTCTCAGGCCCCCTTCTTCTTCTTTTTTTTTTTATGCCGAATGCTGTTTATTGAAGGAGGGAAGAGGTCTTAAATACAGGCTTACAGCACAATGGGAGAACCCCAGAGGGCAGTAGTTCACTAACAATGTTTTACAATCTTGTATCTAAGGTGTTAACGCCCATTATGCAGGATACACAGACAAGGAACTTCCCTTAAGCATTCAGGAGGGTGGAACTCAGCAGGGAATTAGCATAGGGAGGATATCAAGGTCAAGGTCAGCAAGCAAGGCAACAGTTACCCAAAGCGGGGGCCAGGGCCCTACAGGTCCCCCTTTTACTAAAAAATGAGCTTCTGACTTAGGTTGCATGGGAAGTCAGCAGGTCACCTTACCCGTCATGGAGATGCCTGCCCAGGCCACACAGGTGCTCTGTCTGAGGATGGTGAGCGCCCCCCAAACATTACCTGTCTCTGAATACGCATTATCATACAGGCACAATCCTGTGTGAGTTGCAGAGTTAACTGCTGCCAAAGATCTCAAAGTGGTGCTGGGCTGCATTTTCTGTCTTGTCCAATTTAATTGGATTTCTGAGGCACAGTTCTTGGGGTCCTGAGCTGATGTATTCTATTAGCTCACATACATATCTGTATAAGTGTAAACTAGAATTGGCATAATTACTAGAAGAATCTTTGCATATATCCAACCACCAATGATTGCAGACACAGTGAATATTGAGAACATCTAAGGACAAACATTTTGGTTTAACCCTTGACATCTTTCTGAGATAAAGGTGGATCCAGAAAACCTTTATTCAGCTATATTTTAAAAACAGCAAAAATTTATTGAACACAGTAAACAAAAGTTCATTTATGTTGCCTTGATTAAGGAATAAAAATGTTTACATTTTTAATTACCACAGCATTTTAAGTGTTGTTCCCCCAAATTTTTCAGGTTGTTCAGGCCTTGCATCAAAGGACATTATAGTGGGAAAAGAGAGAATTGCCTACATTCCCCATTTGCAAAGTTTTCTATTTGTATTTTTCCTTATACATAAATACATTTAAATACAGATTTGATATCCTAGTTATCAACAATGTTGTTCTTAAATCATAATTTTTTATAAACCTTGTTTTTAATACATTTTCCTCCTATGTTATTTTTATTCTCAGGGCAAAACTCACCCCAAAACATTCATCCCAATCCATTATATCGCAGGAACCCACTGTTACTTAAAAACAGCCATTTCTTTCAAACAAGAGTTGAATCCAATGTACACATACAATATGATGTAGTAAATTAAGATTGATTATGTATAGATTTTCAACCACTAACTCTTATGCAATAAGCTTTATGATAACTGATTGTTACAGATTTTACAGATTTTTTTTTTCTTTTTTGAAGACAAGATTTCTCTGTGTATCTTCAGAGCCTGTGAAGGAACTCACAGAGATCTGTCTGTCCCTAGTGGTGAGATTAAAGGTGTGAGCCACCATCACCACACACAGACACTTTGGCTTGGAGGAAACTTTTTTTTTTTTTTACTGTCTTCAAGTGTGCTTTAGTTCTTTTTTTTAAAAGGAAATTTTTATTCATTTTACGTTCCAACTGCAGGTCCCCATCCAATCACCCCTCTTGCACACTCACTAGCCTCCCTCCCCCATGACCCAAACACCTTCCCTTTCTCCAAAAGAATGAGTTCTCCCATGGGGAGTCAGCATTGTACCAAGCCCCTTCCCCCTGCATCAAGGCTGAACAAGTCATCCCAGCCTACGTAATCGGCTCCAAAAGCCAGCTCAGGCACCAGGGATAGATCCTGATCCCACTACCAGGGGCCCCTCCAACAGACCAAGCTGCACAACTGTCTCCTGCATGCAGAGGGCCTAGGGTACTGCTGTAAACAGTCAACTGGGCCAAGCCTGTTGGGAGCAGATTGGGATTGTGAGGGTCTGAATCTGGCCCGACAAAGGCCCTTGACATCCACTCATGTCTTCTGCTTAGGTTTTGCTATTGTCAGGTGAAATGCCCATCTTCTTGAAAATCCCTCTGTGTCTTTTGTTATTCTCGTCTTTAGTTTCTGTTGAAACAGTTAGTCACCTTGGCTCTGCCAAGTAGAGACAATCCACCCTGACTTCCTGTGGCAGAGTCTTTTGTCACCACCCCAGCTCCGAGACTAGTGCCCTGAGGTTTGTGTTTAACTGAGCTCTTCTCCTCTTTTCCAAACTTCCCTTGAGACTCAAAGATAGAAAGTGTGTTTGCTTCCTGACTTCCGTTGGCATCTGACAAGATGCTGTTTGCACTAGAGATAAATGATGGTGAAATTGAAAACTGGGGACTGGAGAGATGGCTTTGTGGTTAAGAGTACTTGCTGCTCTTGCAGAGGATCTGGACTTGATTCCCAGCATCAACATGGTGACTCACAACTGTCCTAGGACCTGACATCTTCTTCTGGTATCCAAGTACACCAGGAATGCACACCGTGCACATACACATATAGAAGCAAAATATTCATAAGCATAAAGTAAAAGTAAATCTTAAAACATACTAAATTAAAAACTTTTTATGATCTTCCCAAATAGATTTCATTCATTTCTTCACTTACTCTCTGATTAAACATTAGTTTCCTGAATGTTCCCAGACAGTAGGCTCTGTATTAGGCACCAAATACACTGACAGAATGAAATGTGGTAGTTCCTGAGGAGCTCACAGCTTAGTGAGGAAGACAGCCAAATAAACAGGTGGTTACAGATGAAAGACTAGAGGGTGTTAGGGATACAGGGGAGGGTTTCCTGACGCAAACTGCAGTGGTGGTTCTGAGGGAGCTGGAGAACTTTAATGTGTATCCCTGGCTGGCCAGGAAGTCTCTATGTAGACCAGGATGGCCTTTGAACTCACAGAGATCCCCCTGCCTCTGCCTCCTGAGTGTTGTGATTAAAGACGTGCACCACCATAATGAGCCTGCTGTGCTGTTTTTAAAGAGTCAAATTCTCAGGGGGAATGGAAGCTGAGGAAAGGGTGGACCAACCTGTGTGGTCCATGATGTGAGGCAGCAGCACTGGACCTGGGAGCTTCAAGTAGCTGTGTATACAGTAACAGAGCACAGAGTGACAGGGAGAGGGATGGGAGTCAGAAGGGAGCAGGGCAGACAATGTGAGACTGGAATGATGGGTTGAGAAGTTTGGATTTGGGGCTGGAGAGATGGTTCGGTGATGAAGAGCACTGGGTGCTCTTCCAGAGGACCTGGGATCCATTCCAACACTGGGGTGATGGTTCAAAGCAATCTGTAACTCCAGTTCCAGGGGATCCAATGATTGCTTCTGGCTTCCCCAGCACCAAGTGTGCATGCAGTGCACAGATATGTATACAGACAGAACACCCATACACCTAAAAATAATAAATAAATAAAAAGTTTATGGTTTTATCCTCAAGGTCATGGAACACATTGAATATATAATAAAAATACTTTAAAAGGAGGCATGCAACAACTAGACAGAATTTTTGTTTATGGTCAATACTGATTCCCTTCAGCCAGAAAACCTGACTTTAT